CTCCAGAGTCAAGACTTAACATGAGGCAGCTTTCAGTTTCGATGCTCCACATTTGTGGAACAAACTCTCAGACAACTGAAGGTATTCTTTTAAATCAGTGTTAATTCATGTTTAAAACAATTATTTTTATATTGTTATATGTTGCTTTTAAATTTGTCATAATCCTTTTTATTCTTTATGAAAAACACTTTGAAACTTGCCATGCCTAGAATTAGCTTAGTAATGTTGTGAAGGGTCTTTTTCATCAGGTTCACCAAGAAACAGTCATCCATGCTTTTATCAGCTCCATTACCTCACAGCTTCCTGTACACGGAGTTGACCAATTCAAGGTCTGAGTCTATGACTGCACACAAAGATGTCTGGCCTGGTTTGTGGTTTTTAATATAAATTTCAAGCTGAGCGCTGACTTTTAATCCTTCTTCGCACCAATAACAATTACAATTTTTTTCCCAATCATTGATTTGTTCAGTGCACTTAGTTGACCAATTCCACCCTCTCTTGATTATAAATCTTTCAAGTTCTGCAGAGACTTGATCTACAAAAACTGGTACAAAACAATAATATGTCTTTTTCTGATTCCACTATCTGCTCCCAATTCTCCCAGGTTGTCCTACAACTCCTCCACTTTCATCTACAAACTCTTTGGCACCAGTATTTCTCTTTTGGTGTCCCAAAGCTCTGCAATTCTCTTCTGTCCAACATGACATCCTATCCTATTGTTAGTATATTATCTATGTTTTAAAGTCCTACTCTTCTACCTTATCTTGCTTTACTGTCAGTATGAGTTTGCATCCTGATGTAACACATAAAACTGGTCACAACTGAGGATATTTTCCAGTAGATTTTTATTGAGCAATTATGAGAATCTGTGTTATACTTAACATCAAACCTACTTGCACTAAGATAATAATAATGTAAGTATAGGAACATCCATTTACCTGCTTATTCATGCAATTATCTTATCAGGCAATCATGAGGCAGCACTGCTATGCATCAAATCCTGCAGGTGAGGGTCAGATGTAGACCAGGAGCTTTAGTTAAGGTTCACATCAAACATCAGCTTTTCACACACAACATGTCTCTAGAGTTCAGGGCACAGGAAATAGAGCGGGTCGCCAAGTATCCAGAGTGTCAGGGGTTTGATTCAGTCTCCAACTGGTTTCATGCTATTTCAGCTAGAATATGCAGTTTACAAATATACAGATATTATGTGATACAGTTGTGTCAACTAGTGTGCTTTTTAAGTGTATAAATTAGATATAATTGTACATTTCTTAATCATATATAGGCATAAGTGACAAGCAGTTATGTATCGATAGTTACAATATACAATGTGTTTAATTCTAGCCAAGTGCCAACTTGGTACATGTGCATTTTAAAGGTGAAATATCTATTTCTGTCTTCAGTAATGACTTTGTCTTACTTCTTATTGCTCTCTATACAATAATTACCATCAGTCAGTGACAGACAGACATGCAGTGAAACACTAAGTATCCAGCCAGCAGTCTTTGTCTTCTCTTGGAGGTAGTGGTAACACAGACTGTCAAAGCTAAAGGTCAACATTCTTGGACATTCTTTTATGTATTTGTTTCTGACAGTGAAATAATAAGATAGACATCAATTTCATATCTGTAGGTGGTTAGAACAGAAATGACCAGTAAATACTTCTGAGTGCAGACTACACAGAGGGTACATCTACAAACAGGCATCTACACTATGTTTATGCCTCATTGCGTATGTGGGGGGGAGAGACTGGAAAAAATGTAGGTAATTGCATATTGATATGTTTGAGGAGATCATCCCTAGTACTGGTGAGGACCAACAAAGCTGTGAGGTGGCTGTCTCAGAGCGCTTCTGCAGATCAGCCTTCATGTACTGCAGGAAACTGCTGGCAGAGCTAAAAACAGCTATAGAGTTCAAAAGATTCACTGAACAATGTGTTAGTCTAGACAGCAAACATACTGATATGGAGTCATTTTAAAAATAAATTGTTGAAGCACATCATTAGAAGCAACAGAGAACGTGTGAAGGCAATCATTAGAAACTGCAGCAACATAAGCATAAAATGGGAGATATTGAGGAAGCTTTACTCTTCATATCACAGTTCCACAGCTCAAAAGAGCAGCTGTAAAGGGCAAAAATAGAAGCTGTTTAAAATCCAATAACGTACTCATGGAAGGCCTTGAGCAAACAGCTGACATTAAGGACATTTGGTATATTGTGAGTGCTTAACCCCTCAGGGTCAGTTGAGAACTAACTTGGATTGCCACTATGCTGGTTTGAACTCAGGTCAGACTCCATCTCCCCAGCAGCTCCAGTTCTGCGACAAGCCAGATGATCCACAGAGCGAGGTGAGGCATTGTCAGCTTGGTGACCGCAGCAGCATGCCACCACATCAGTGAGGTCGGCCCGGAAAGATGGAGTGTAGAAGCCATAAATGACAGGGTCACAGCACGTGTTCAGGTTTCCAAAGACAAAAAGTATGTGGTGTATGTACTCAGGTGTGCGTTGGATAATTGCTGGTTGGAACCAGTACCAGATCCCAAGGATGTAGTAGGGTGTCCAACAGATGACAAAAGAGCTAACAATCACAATAGTCATCTTGAGGGTCTTCATCCGGGCTTTAGGTATCATGTCTGTCCCACTGCGTCTAAGGCACTGCTCACCATCTGCATAAACACATGACAGGAAATTAACTGAAATATAGCAAATTCTATAATTGAAAGTATATAGGCTATCACTCTTTGTGTAAATGGTTTGTATTTATGTATTATGCTTTTCTAGTCTTGATGACCATATAAAGTGCTTTACACTACAGTTTGCCATTCACACACACAGCAGCACTGTTTTGTTCTATGGGGCAATTCAGGGTTCAGCATCTTGACCAAGGGCACTTCAGCATTCAGATGGGAAGACTGGGGATTGAACTGCTGACCTTCTGGTTGGAGGATGTCCACTCTACCCCTCAGCTACAGCCACCGTGTGTGAGTGATCGGTTGGGGCTGTAATGCTTTTATCCCACCGATATTACTACTTCGCAGCTTGGCATTCTTACATTTTGCACATGGTGACTTCAAAGCCAAGTGCACCGATGAGCAGATTCTAAACCTGCCTATTTGGAATGGGCTGTTAAAGATCAGGTCTTTCCTGTCCTCTGCAGACTTAGAAAAGGTCATCCACGCTTTTATTTGTTCCAGGCTTGACTATTGCAATGCACTTTATTTTAGTTTTGTTAGTTTTTTTATATTGAGAAGTTCACAGTTTTTCATTACATTGCACCAACAAAACAATTGTTGTGCTTTTACTTTGATGACAAACTGCCATACAGAAAAATAATCTATAAAGTTCTTGCCATGACAGAGATCAGCACCGTTGCTGTGTGTCTGTGTCAGTCCAATATGGTTGATTAAAAATAAACAAATGGTCAAAATGGCCTGATTTTCACCCGTGGTTTGATGGGCTTACAGACTACTGCAGAACATAAAAGAATGTTCAACTGAGTCTGAAAGTCTCCCCATATAGGACTGAGCACTTATCCTCCTCTCTCTGTCTCTTAGCCCCCACATTCATTTATTTATTTTATGACATGTCACTATGTGTTTTTTCCTCCCATAGTCTCTCTCTTTCTTTATCTCTCTCTTTGCAAGTATCTCTGAATCCAGAGACTTCCTCTCCACAGTCGCCAAAGTGCTGCTCATTGTGAGAACTGTTGAGTTTCTCTATATTAATATGATGTTAAGGTCTTGACCTTCTATGTTAAGTGTCTTGAGATAATGTATATTATGATTTGGCACTATTCAAATAAAATAAAATGGAAGTGAATAGGCTTGGACCCTAATAAGGGTGTGTGTGTCAACTTGGTATGCAAGATGGCTCCAGCAGCTTTGCTACTTAGACATCTAAATAAAGATACACAAAAACAAAAGGCCCCAATTGAGCTTGAACTGTAATAACTGGCTGTTACTCTGTTTGCCCCAATGACAGTTTCATCTTTTCTGTGGTTAAAATACTATTTAAAAACATTGTCTACAGCTGAAGGGACTACAATGTTATGCCACTTACAGCTTTAAAGAATCGTTTGCATACCATTTCTATCAGTAATAGCATTGTACCTACCATTCATTCAAGTCTGACAGGTCAAGGAACATAAGCAGACGATCACACCAGTAATGAACCAACAGTTAATCAAGATAATCTAAAGCACTTCATTTGAGAGTGAGCTGTCACCAGCACAACCCATTGTGCTGATTATTCCTGCTAAAACACAACCAAACACATTGAAGTTTTAACATGTGTGCTCTCTGTACATTCTACAGTTTACATTACACTGGAATCAGGATTAACTGGGATAGATGATATCTCTGCAGATCTTTTTAGTCTCAGCTCAACACTGGTGAACTATGACATCACACTGACGGAGACTGACTCTCTCTGGTCCCTGATCTGAGCTGTATAATGTTATCATTAACAATGGGAGTTGTGGAAGAACAAAAGTAAAGCCAGTAAAGTTGTGATAAAATGGAATTATCCTTTGAATGGGTGCAAAGGGGTGAAAAGGGATAAAACTTATTTGAGACCGTCTGTGAGGTCACACACCTTTTCTCTTGTGCATCTGCCCATTGATCTTGGTGAGGATGCGGGTGTAGCAGAAAGTCATGACAAGCAGGGGGAAGACATACAGCGTCACAAAGTGAAACATGTTGTATGCCGTCTCCTGCCAGCGATGCTGGAAACTTCCATGGGTCACACACTGAGTGAAGTCCACTCCATCAGCCTTAATGGCCCGAAAGATGAACAGCTGAGGATGAATAGAGTGTAAAGACATGAGCAATGCATGCAAAAACACAAGTGTAGTTTGAATTCATTAAACAAACTTTACATTATATTTGTTTATATTAGAACAAACTACACAAAGAGCCACAGGGTGAGGGGATGACTTTGAACCCATGTTGTGCATTTAAGTCGTTTGAATGCATTCATAATCACGCCATGTCACAAACATGAGGTTGTTACCGACTGCTCTGGAAGCAGATGTAAAAGGTGAAGAACGTTAATTGGGTTAACATCATTAAGATGCTGAGGCTGCACAGATTAGTTAGTAACAGTGTCCTGGATGTGATGACACTTGAGCCAGAGTACTGCACATTCAGTGGCTGTTAGTGGCAGGGCTGTCGGTAATTGCACACGTAGTGACAATGAAGTGGGAGAAAGCCACAGCAGCAGTGTGAAGACAACTTATTTCACACAACTTATCATCACTGGGCTACAGGAGGACACTGTACTATTCTAAAAACAACATGATATGAGTGCATATTTTATGTTTCTTATTGTCAACAAAATCCTTGTGCAGATCTGAACCCACAATGAATGTACTTTACTAATGTGTACTGTTTGTAGCTCAATTTTTAGAAATGCATCAATGATTAAATATCTGACCACATGTAATGACTTATGTATTTATATATATATATATATATATATTTATATATTTATATATATATATATATTTATATATTTATATATTTATATATATGTCACAATAATTGTTTATTGTGTGTGTTCACACACAATAAACAATTATTGTGACAGTGACAGTTTTCTCATTTTTAGGAGCATAATATTATTTGTCTTGTCATATCACAAACATTTGTGTCTGTTTCACAAAGAAAACATTCCTCATCATAAGATAATAAGTAAACCGATATGTTTATCAATCATATGATCTAGACTGCCTTTGTTTTGTTTGTGCACAAATATGTAACCACTGTGGGTGCATCTGGTGTCAGTGATTGTCTTAAACCAGGTTCAGTGGCTGTCTATGCAGTAGTGGCAAACAGGTGATTTCTGAGCATGTTCAGTTTGCATTAACAAGCTTCCTGCAAAAACAATTCTGAGCTGCTGAGAGACTGACACCTCTAACCGTAGATTCTCCTGCATGGTCCCAGATGAGGCCTGGTATCTATAAGGTTTATCATTTTCTAGCCACAATATCATGGACAATAAATGTAATATCAAATAATTAGTTGCACTAAATTGAATGATCTCAACACAAAGTGTGCTCTAGCAATATGTGTTGTTTACAACAAAACAGCCTTAACTTTAACTCTGATGGATGCCTTTTAATCATAAAAAGAACACCTGATCAGTGGTACTTTCAGATCCACACAGAATCATTACCTTAACTTTAATGTTGTCATTGGAGCACCAAATAAATCCAGAGGTTTGTAACATAAACCTCGACCATGTGTACTTAGACTGGTGAAAGTGATTAGGGCCTAGCATGTAGTGTACCTGTGGAGAGGCCAGCAACACACTCAGAGTCCATGCCACAAGCAGCATGCGTTTGTTCCTGAGCCCAGCGTCCAGAGAGTCCAGAGGATGGAGGATAGCCCGATAGCGGTCCAGACTCACCACTACCAGTATGAATGCAGCCGAGTGCATGGCAAAGAGCTTGAGGAAACACAACAGCTTACACATGACATCCCCGGCATACCACTGCACTGTGATGTTCCAAATGGCATCCAGTGGCATCACCACAAAAGTCATCACCAGATCAGCTGAGGCCAAACTGGCAATGAGTGGACGGAGGTGTGCTGGTAGGCGATAGCCCCGTCCCCAGCACACACTGATGAGGACTGACAAGTTACTGACAGCAGCAAACACAAACAGCACCAGGGTGGCTGCTACACGGCAGCGGGCTGCCACAGTGAAGGAGGGAGCCTTCCAGGGTGGAGGAGAGGGTGGAGCAGACAAGTTAAGCAGGGAGAAGACAGAAAAGCTCTGTAAAGTATCAGCAGGTGTGGAATTCCACTGGGACTGGTTTCCTGCCATCCTGTGACAAAGAGAAACAGAAAGAGAGCATATTGCTGATTCAGTCACCGTAAGCCTGTGGCATTGTATATTTTTATTGTATAGTGACTTCTGGCAGTTCAAAATGTATCCTTTTTAAATAACCTTATATGTTTCAGACATGTTTGAGGCATTTGATCTTTATTTCTATGTAAAGCATGACATGGAGAGAGAGAGAGAGCGTAGAGGACATGCAGCAAAGGGCCAGGTCAGAATCAGATTCATAACTAACACATTTTCTGCTTGTTCACCTCATGGACACATGTATGAAGTGATTTGCTCTTACTGCACTCCTACATTTTCCAATTTGAAAGCACACGCTATTTGATAGAAAAATAAGCAACCTGAACTCTGGCAAGTTTTCCAAGATGCTTGGAACAAGCTACCTGCTTAGTGCTGAGGTGAACTGGTGCTTTAAAGGCAAAGGAGGGTAAATGGATTGATGCATATAGTACCTTTCCATCGACCCACCAACCTTCTCTTTAACAGTGGACCCACTACTTGCTCAACCAGTCACTCAAAATGCTGATTTAGCTCTTTCCTTTAGATGAGGTTTACTTCCCTCCTGTCTTCGTGCAGAGTTTGCTGTAGGATTGCAGCTGTGAACATCTCTCTGAGCTCCCTACAGCGCTTGGGTTGAGGTCTCAGGTCTGACTGGGCTGCTCCAACAAGTGGATTTTCTCTGTATGAGGTCTTGGGGCTGAGGAGGTAAAGTGGATCGTCCACTAACTTTTGATGGTTCAATCCCAGTCTCCTCTAGTGCTTAAGCGTCTGAACCCCACATTCCCTCTGTTGGCAGTGTATGATTAATGTGTGGTGGGGAAGTGCTGCACGTAGGTGCACTGTATAAATGTGTGTGTATGGGTGAATGGCAAAACTGTTCTGTGTACTGTACTGCTTTGAGTGGTCATCAAGACTAGAAAACACAATAAAAACACAGACCATTTACAATATTCTGTGGTTGATTTACTTCTTATCTTCAGATGGTGGACAGCCACCCTGTTATTATCCTGCGAGCTCCACTGATCAAATTGGGAATTCGTTTTCTCCCAAATGATTTAAAGCTGTCCAGGCCCAGAGTTTAGATGAAGCTGCAAATTGGTAAACTTCACGCACACAGCGATTTTTTTTAATTTCTTTTTTTGGCCTTGTCGTAAGGTTGATTCATGAACAGCTCCAGTGATTCCTTGAAACATGTATCTGATACTCTGGGCGTCTTCTTAACTTAATATCAGCTTGACGTCCACATAGTGAGAGCAGCCTAAACTAAACCATCTACATGTATGAACGGTGTGTAAAACTGTGAACTAAATCCAATTCTTGATCACCAGTCTTCTGCTATCTTTCCTTGTGAATGTCTGGTTCACAGCTGTTTATTTGAAAATAACAAACTGAAAATGTTTTGAGTGTTTTTCATAAATTGAATTGTCTGATGATACATGGACCCCATATACTAACTCCTGACTCCTGCCAGCTGAGCTGTTGTCATACTTTTTCCACTGCATAAAATGAAATCTTTGTTGTTATTTCATATAGATTGTGCTTGTTCTTTTATTGAAACGTAGATATAAATATACATAAATGCAGATAATTCACAAGGTTTCACTTTCCTTATACTTTTGGATGATTTTATGTTTTTGGTTCTGTGTTTCACTGTTTTGCAGAAATTGTTTCTAAATGCCACCTATGTCAAACTTGAGCTTGTAGCCTAATTGTTTTCTTCAATTTGCAGTCTGGTGAGCTCTCTGGGTCATACTGCTTTTTCAAAGGAAAAAACCCCACAAGTTTCAAATAATAACATCACTAACAAGATAGTAACAAATGGGAAATTAAAATGTAAGAAGTCCATAATAAGGAGAATATCTAACCAAAATACATAAACCTGCGAAAGAGCTTAAGCCATAGTGGTGGAGCAGGGGCGCCCTCTGCTGACAGATCACGGTAGCCCCAGCTGTGATGCTGCGCCAAAGAATGAATGAATGGATGAATGAATGACTGCCTGTAACAACAAACCGGTATTCTCCCGCGACCAACATCTCATGTTCTCCTCTTTGCTCTTTAGAATGCTGGTCTATGCGGATGCTGTCCCTTCTTTCTATCACTTTCCACATTTGCAGCTCCGCATATTCTACTGCATTACTCCGACACTGGGGTGGGCACTCACACCCCTCCCATGTGCACACGCTGGTAACTGTGTGTACACAGTGAAAACCACATAATACCAATCTCAATTCAAGTAAGCACTGGATCTATCTGCAGACTGCAGCACTTAGGAGCACAGAGCAGCAGCAGGGCTCACTTACCTCAGTGTGTTGGTGGCCACATGAAGAGAGAAGAAGCAGAGCGGAGCGGTCCAACGTGCTGGAGCATCACTACCTGCTCTGTCTCTTACATTCCACACTGACCGATCAACCTTTACATGCGATCAATGATCGATGCGATCACTTGAACTGCTCCATCACACCTGCGCGCGCATACTCTGCAATCCACCGTGAGCATGTTGTGCGCGAAGCAACAAGGATCAATGCCGATTGGTTAATTAAGGTGGGTGACGCGCGCGGGGTGTTGCAGCGGATGCCACCTTCGTGACAGAGCCATCCTGGGGAATTTCCAGTACATGTATGGATCCTTTGTGCAGAGTTGAGGGCAGAGGAGCATGTTTTCTCATCATATCCAGTTTTCACTGCGTCTCTGCAGCTCATCACCTTTCTGTCATCATCTTTCTGTCAATTATTCTCACTGCCTATTGACTCTGTCTTTGTTATGATTCGATTTTTCAGAGTAAAAGATCGTGTGTTCTCCCCCAGCAGAGTCCATTTGAAGGTTTAATGAAATCATATCTGCACTGTGTTTCCATGGGATCTGACAGTGGAAATATCAAATGTCAACTAACAGTCTGAGGTTGAACAAAAGAATCAGACACCACTGTCACGTTTGTGTGTATATCAGATTAGGGTGCATGGATTCTATAATGTCAAACCATGCACACAAAACTGAAATATCACATCTTGCAATGCCTGCAGGCTAAATAAAGGCTGGTGCAGCATTTATTAACATTCAAGCTTTTTGTATTTTCTTATGTAATTTATTATTAGCATAAGTGATGATCCTGCAGCCTGATGTGTGCTACTTTAGTAGCAAAGACAGACCAATTCTGAATTCTGTTTAATAATATTCATTATCTGCCAAAGTCAAATACTGGGTTATTACTACTGGTATTTGTCTATAATCAGCACATCCCTACCCTAAATTTACTAGAAAAAGACAGAGTTCATTAGGGCACTGTGGTATCCCATGAGCTTGATCGCCTTCCACTTCAGCAGCAGGGATGGACAATCTGCAGCATCAAGGCCACATACAGTGTGAGATAACTTATAAATATACAAAACACTCAAAATTACAGAAAAAAAGGTCACATGATATCATCTAAGTTTTGTAATAAAAAATAACGTAAAGCAGAAGCTTAATATATCGTTCAGTGTGTCTTTCATGGTCACAGTCAAGGGAAACACATACATAGCTGCTACGTGTCATCGCTGAGAAGCATAACAGTGATGTTTGTCAAGACAAGAAAAGTAGATGCATAATGTTGTTTCCAAGAGAAAGAAACAAATAAATAAGGGAAACTATTCAAAAGTATCAGTTGATGCTGAAGACACAGAGGGAAACTGCTCTGCGTGAGTCTCAGAATTTAGAACGAGGGGCCAGTGTCACCTCTCTGGAGAATGACTTGGAGGCCTTGTATGGGTGAGGCCTCTCTGGAGGCTGGCGATGACACTGAAGGGTGTCTGCATGGCCACCAGAAGATTCAGCTGCAGGTCCTGTAGGTCGCTTGACAGGCAGAATGCAGGAATGTTGAGCTGGAGCTGATCACCTGACAATCAGGATGAACATCAGCTGTTGAGATCTGGCAGTGGGTCAGCAGGGATTGGAGACGAGGCTGTTGACATAAGTTACCATGGTTATTACAGATTACCAAATATTAATTTTAGCAGTTCACTGCTTTTATTTATTTTTAAATTTCACAGTCTCTCACCTCCCCTCCACCCACCCTCATGAGAAATTGAATATAATCATTCAAGTATTAAAAGTAGCCTATTCTACCTGCAACTATGGTGATAATAAAACAGCAAAACAAAAAGGAAATTTGAGACCTAAAGATGAATTAAGAAGAAGAAGAAGAAGAAGAAGAAGAAGAAGAAGAGGAACAATTAAAAAATGATTTATTTAAAGGTCCAGTGTGTAAGATTTAGGTAAAAGGGATCTATTGGCAGAAATTTAATGTAGAATAATCCTCATGATGTTTTCACTAGTTCGTTTCATCTAAATTGTATGAATTGTAGTTTTCTTTACCCCAGAAAAGGACCTTTATATTTAAATACTTTATATTTACATCAAGGGGGTCCTCTCTAGAGAGGCTGCCATGTTTTTTACAGTCATCCAGACTGAAAAAACTAAACACCTTTTGAGTTTTTAAGACAATTAAAGGCTACCACAGATTATTTTTAATGTTTGGAAGGGGAGGGTGAGGTGAGGGGTGTTCAGCTGCAACATGCAATTTCAACACACGATATCACTAAATTCTACACACTGTACCTTTAAAGTAAACTGTATAGGAGGCTGAAACATTTCTTGGAGCTTTCTTCTATGTTGTTCACATTCTAGTCCTTTAGTCATTGGCATGGGATTTGGGGCGTGGTTGCAAGCCATCAGATATCACAATAAAAGGTTGGTTCTTAAACAGTAAGTTTAAAATATTAAATGATATCAAAATAGTCTACTGTATCTTATTAATTGGCCACTGAGTGCAGTTTCCTAACAAATCCCTCTGCAACAGGGATTCTGCTGATTTTACAGAGTTGGCTGCACTCACCATTGAGTATTATTAATTATCTAACAATAATGGATTCATTCAGGTATACCAGACGTTTAGTCCATTAAAGACACAAAAAAAGTATTGAATAAACAATAATAAGAAACAACAACATAACATACTATTAAGCAAGGCTCTGTTTTATTAGTGTGCAATACAAATGTCAGTGGGTTTTTGAATTATCATCTCTGGAGCAGGACCTAGACTTTCTTTTTTCTCTGTGGTTGTCTCCAGGGAGCCCTAAGGAGGTCTATCTGGCCTGTGGCCCGTGTTACTGCTGAAGAGGAGAACTTGTGGACTGCAACTTCTGCAGGTTGATAGTAAAGTGCAGTTATAAAG